AGTCTTGCGGAGCATAGAATAATAATATGTGTGGTAACTTTACCCGAGGAAACCCTCGAGAATATCAACACCAAATTGGCTCGCATAGCGAAACAGAACAGACAAGACGGGCCGTATAATAATACGGGCAGGATAATAATACGGGCAGTATAATAATACGGTCCGTATAATAATACGGGCAATATAATAATACGGGCAGTATAATAATACGGGCAGTATAATAATGGGAAGAAGTGCGTGAATTGTAATGTATTATATTACTAAGTGTTGTTACTGTTTAATGTGCGTTTAACTTGTAATTTCTACGGTTTTCTGTTTACAGGGTCTTCGTTTTCGTACTACGAACGGGGGTCTTCGTTTTCGTAGTACGAAAACGAAGACCGGGTCTTAGGTCTTAGGTGTTCGTTTTCGAGGGTCTTCGTTTTCGTAACACTAATCTTGGCAATAATTTGTCAAATATAAGCTGGCAATGCAGAATGCTTTATCCCTCACATTGCAATGCCAACTGAATGTCAAGCAAATAAAATCAGAGCAAATATTTCCAACAAGTAATGATCACTACACAAGTTTCACAGTCGGTGAAGGAGAACAACTGTGTTGGTTAAGACCTCTCTGACCACCTGAAAAAAATGATATATTTGTTTACAGATTATTAAATAAGAGCGGTAATATTAAGATCGAGTTCATCAAAGTAAACATGATCAATAGACATGTCGATTGCAATTAATTATAAATTATTCGAATATAATTTACCCTCCTCCGTCCTCGATCTGTCCCTTCTGGGCCATTCTCTTGCCTGACTGCGACATCAATCGTTGGGAATGCTCCCTTCTCAAGCCTTCGAACGCTCGGCTGATCTCTAATGCTGTTCTTTCGACAAAAGCTGTCTGGCGCGAAATGCACAGAACACAACACCGAGGCCTTCGATGGCTTAAAACCTGGCCGATGTTTATAGATGAATTTCGTTCATTTCCTTCTTAAAATTTCATTAGAAGGAAAAAAATGCATTGATATGCCCGGGGTTTGACTCAATGGGACGTTTCGGAATGTTTGAAGTGACGAATTGAATGTTTGAAGTGACGAATTGAATGTTTGAAGTGACGAATTGAATGTTTGAAGTGACGAATTGAATGTTTGCAGTGACGAATTGAATGTTTGAAGTGACGAATTGAATGTTTGAACAACAAGTTTGAATTTTGGCGAGGATGGATACCCATACTTATCCGCCATATTCCCGGCCGCAATCTACACAACTGATGATGTCACAGAGGAATTTTGGCCGGGCGTGAATTGTCGCATATGTTTTGGAAATATGCTGAACTTTGAGCTGACGGGAAAACTACTAACACGCTTCCATAAAGGTTGTAATACCAGAATTCGATCAAGTAAGTGATACCAGTCCCCACCTAAAATGTACTGTCTCAGGCTCGCAAGTTCTGGGTCACTTTCAGAAGCCAATTCGACTTGTTTCGCTGTCAGGGCAACAGGTAAACTTTCCTCGGCGACTGCCTTGACAAAGTCAAATTCCTCCTCACTTGAGTCTCTAGGTTCATATTGATTGAGTTTCGAGAGAGAGTCAGCAATGTTCGCTTTTCCAGGCCGATAAACCATTCTGTGGTCATACCCCTGTGGTCTCAGAACCCATCGTTCAATATGTGCTGATGGTTTGGAAAGCTTGCCAAAAATACACTCGAGTGGCTTGTGATCAGTTTCAAGTTCAAATTTCCGCCCGTACACATAAATGTTGAACCTCTCACAAGCCCATACAAGGGCAAGGGCCTCCTTCTCGGTCTGGTTGTATATCCGTTCCACTTTGGTGAGGTTCTTGGATGCGTATGAGATTGCTCACCACTCGCCGTCTTGAAATTGAGTCAGCACCGCACTGAAACCCTGTGGACCTGCATCGGCAATATTACGCGAGTTACAGTCTCCCCTGAAATACGCAAGCGAAGTGGCCTGTGCAACAAGCTGTTTCAACTTCTGGAAGGACTTTTCCTGTGCTTCACCCCAGATGAAAGGCTCATTCTTCCTCAGGAGGCTCCTAAGTCGTTTTACTTCTTGTGCAAAGTTGGGAAGAAACTTTGCAGAATACTGTACAAGCTGAAGAAATTAATGATCTGACCTGTGAAGCATCTTGTGGAGGACTTGCCTTTAAGATGGCAGCTACTTTCTCTTCACTGAGTGCAACACCTTACCTACTTAGGTCATGACCGAAGAATTTCAGCTCGGGAAGACGAAACTGGCATTTGTCCCCATTCAGTGTTAGTCCTTTATCTTTCAATCGGGTCAGTATGGCCTGTAAATTCCTGTCATGTTCCTTTATGCCACAACCATGCACAATCAAATCATCTGCCATGTTAGCTACTCCCTCGCAACCATGCAAAACATTCGCCACAATTTTCTGGTACTTTTCAGGCACCGATGTTACCCCAAACATCAAACGTTTGTACCTGTACAAACCACGGTGTGTAACAAACGTTATGATATCGCGTGATCTTTCATCAAGTTCCACTTGGTGGAAACTCCACTTGAGGTCGAGCTTTGAGAAAACGGTTGAGCCTTTAAGGTCATACAAGACTTCCTTAATTGTCGGGATAGAATGTCTTTCCCTCTCTATTGCCGAATTCGCCCCACGCTTGTCTACGCAAATCTGAATGTCACCATCTGTCTTCGGGACAACAAACAACGGCGACACCCACTCAGTTGAGTTGTGTGACACCTCCTCGATGATATCTTTTGCTAACAGCTCATCCGACTTCTTGTCAACCTTGGCTCTTAACCCAAATGGTAATCTCCGTACAGGTTGTGCAACAGGCTTGACATCGTCTTTTATATGTAATTTCAGCAGAAAATCCTTCAGTTTTCCGACCCCTGTAAAAACCTCTCTGTACTTTTCATGGATGTCGGCATCACTTCCTTCGGTAGTTAATGAACACACATCTGGACCGACCCTTAATACGCCCAACTTCTCTGCAGTGTTCTTTCCGAGTAGAGGTCTTCCTGGACCTTTAACCACTATGAGTTCATCGACACAGCTGATGCCACTAATCTCGCATACAGTCTCAAACACAAATGTCCCGATCACCTCAATAGGATCTTTCTGCCCATAAGCAAACAACTTT